CCCCGCCCTGCCTGTCCTGGACCCGCCGCTGCCGGGCCGAGCGGGACGTGGCGTCGGACTGGCCCCGGCACCTGCAGGCCCTGCCCTGCGTCGCTGCAGAGCGCGCTCTGTGAGCAGTGCCTGGTCGTGCCCGCGCTGAGGTCTCTCTTTCCCCCTCTGTGTGGCACACGGACTAGAAAAGGAGTAACGGAACCGTGCGCTGGTACGTCGGTTAGTTCAAAGGCGGAAAGAACGGGTGATGGTTAGCTTGCTTAGTGTAACCCGTATGCGAAGCTTTAGGTGCATGTGGAGCAGAACTAAGCCTGTATTAAGGTAGTCTGTGTGCGTGTGTTGTATTCGCAGCAAATCTTGTAGTTCTTGATTTATTTGGAAAGTAGATGCCAGAGCAGCGAAGGCAGTTCCGCAGCCTGCTGCGAGTCGTGCGTGCGAGCACAGAGCTCCGGGCAGGAGCACTGAACCGGACGCGGGAATGCCTGATGATGACAGAAACACCTGGATCCATCAGAAGATCAGCTGTGAAAGATTTTGCTTGTACAAAAAGCCTTTCAAAAGCTGTCTTTTTGAGTCTTTAGAGTCCAAGTTGGTACTTGCCCTCGGATGACCCTTAGCACACCCTGTGGGACATCAGGAAATAGCGAGGATATCGAGGATGTCGTTGGCTTTGGCCGAGGTTTTTAGTGGGTTGTTGGCATCACCATTCACCAGCCCTGGGTGCGTAGCTGGGTGTTTCCTGGTTAGAGTCTTGGACAGCCAGCCCAGCTCCGCACATTTTCAATCCATTATCTGCTTCACTGGCGCTGTGTGACACAGATCTTTGAAAAGGACCGCGTGTGAGATCAGCCGAGCCAGGTGTCTTGTTCCGCTCTGCGGCGCAGAGCAGATTGATCTGATTGAGTTACAAACTGTGAGCTCCAGAGTGCGGCAGAGGCTCCTGGCATCTGTGCCGGTCGTTGGGCAGAGGCCTATTCTTAGCTGGAATCATGTGTTGTAGAGAGCAGAACTCAGCTGGGTTTATTCTGAGCTCAGGCTCATTACAAGTGAAAGCCTCCCCCGTCTGTTCTTGTGGAGGAGAGCGTTTTCTGTGCCTTGGGGTATTTACCTCTTCCAGCTTATGAGTAAAGCACCAAGGCTGTATTTTTCCTCCCTCTTGTGTGGGCCTCCCTGGGCTGAATGTGAGACCTGGCCTGCTGGAGGAGTCTGCAGGAGCCGTGGGCCCTTGGTGGGCTTGTGTCCCCTGACAGGCCCTGGGGACAGCCCGGGAAGGGCCGGGGAGAGAGGGGGAGCCGGCGGCGTCGCAGCTCTGGGGAGGCCTGGTGCGTGCTGCCGGGCTGCGCGGCGGGGAAGGAGCCTGCGCTTCTGGGCAGGTGGGTGCAGTGACGCTTCTTGTCCCCGCTTCAGTGTAACTCGCGTGTGTGAGGATGGAAGAGCAGCCGACGGCAGAGCAGCTGGCCCAGATTGCGGCTGAAAATGAGGAGGACGAACACTCCGTCAACTATAAGCCACCTGCCCAGAAGAGCATCCAGGAGATCCAGGAGCTTGACAAGGATGATGAGAGCCTGCGCAAGTACAAGGAGGCACTGCTTGGTGCCGTCACCGTGACTGCAGGTGAGCCCGAGGACGTGGCTGTGCCTCGCTTGAGCCAGAGCCCCGTCAGCCACCTCCAGCCCCGTCCCTGCTCCCGTCCGGGAGCTGCTCTTCTCCCAGCTCTTTGCGCTTTGGCACAGCCAGGAGCATAAAGGCACGTGTCTGCGCTCCCCCCGTGCTGCTCTCTGGCCCTGGGAACCAGCACAGGGACTGAGGGGTGGCACTGCCGCGAGTGGGGAGCCCCTGGGCTGGGCCCAGTGCAGCAAGGAGCCCAGACCCTCACGGAGGGACACGCGGTTCTCACTGGTTTCCTTGCTCTTTCAAGAAGTGCCCTGGAGGGAAAAGGAGTTGTGTTGGTTGGCGTTAGGGACGGGTGTTTAACGGCCTTTTTGCTTGTCTTCTAGATCCCAATGCTCCAAATGTGGTGGTGACCAAGCTGACTTTGGTCTGCACTACTGCGCCGGGCCCTCTGGAGCTGGACCTGACAGGTGAGCTGGGAAGGGCTTCCAGCGCTTCTCCCAGGACAGAGCTGGCCGGGCGCGGGGCCTGGCAGATGGCCGCGCAGGAGCGCTGCTGGCGTGCTGGGCACGGCCTCCCGTGCTAGATGCAGAGAACCACCCGGAGGGTTCTGTGCTCTGAGCCAGCCGCGGTGTGCCCCGTCGCAGCAGAAAGCCTTTCTGTCCCCACTCCCTGCCAGCCCTGGTTTTGTAGAGGTGTGGGCGGCCAGGTGGGAGCCAGCTGTCCTCCAGCCTGCGCCACGACACTGATGGCAGCTTTGAGATGGTGACAGCCTCACAGCAAACGTCTGCAAAGAACATTCTTGAATTGACTGCATTGCTGCGCTGCGGTGTCCTGTCACAGGGCGTCGCTTGCCCACCTTGGGTAGCGTGGGCTGAGCAGCACGGAGGGTCCTGCCCTGCAAAAGCGAAAGGACAAGCTGCGGGCTGTCCAGGCAGCAAGGGTCGTCCCCTGCAGATACTGTCCCCATCACCTCTTGCAACTTAAATTTGCCCCACAGCACAATACAAAGGGACTTGGAGCAACCCTCTCCCTTCTTTGTAGGTGACCTGGAGAGCTACAAGAAGCAAGCATTTGTGCTGAAGGAGGCTGTGGAATACCGGATAAAAATCTCCTTTAGGGTAAGAATTCAGAGCTGAAAACTGCAGAACGAGTGGAACCCCGGGCTGCTGCAGTCCATCATAGGGAGTGCCTGAGCACCAAACAGTGGTGTGATGGAGGAAGCATCTCCTGCTGCGGGTGGGGTGGGCAGCGCGTCTGCGAGATGTCTGCTGCAGTCCTTGCTTGTGTCTCTGCAGGTTAACAGGGAGATTGTGTCGGGGTTGAAGTACATTCAGCACACGTTCCGGAAAGGCGTGAAAAGTAAGTGCTTCTCTGGGACGTGGGTGCTGCTTTGCGTGAGGGCTTCCTGGGTTTCCACGGCGGTGGTGGGGGCTCGCCGCTGGTGCCCCAGCAGCTCACAGTGGGAGGGGACGGTCTGCCATCACCTCTGCCACTGAGCCCGTGGTGATGTGTGAAGGCTTCTGGGTCTGCTGCAGTGTGGCAGCTTGGGGCTTCGGCACCTCTGGCCTTGATGTGTAATCCCCGCCGTAGCGCGGCGTGAACGGTCGCTGCTGAGAGCGCTGCGAGCGTGGGGGAATCACTCCTGGCGGGAGGAGCCATTCCTGAAGTGAACGGAGCTGTTAATGTCGATGACGTTCTTGTTCTCCCAGCTCCTCTGCGGATTGCTGTAGCTGTAACAGACCTTTCGTTTGCTTTAGCCTCGCCCCAGATGCAGTGGGGGCTCTTAGACAGCCTCCATACACCTCTCTCTCTCCTTCTAGTTGACAAGACCGAGTACATGGTTGGGAGCTACGGCCCCCGAGCAGAGGAGTACGAGTTTCTGACCCCCATGGAAGAAGCCCCTAAGGGCATGCTGGCCCGGGGCAGCTACAACATCAAATCCAAGTTCACAGATGATGATAAGACTGACCACCTGTCCTGGGAGTGGAACCTGACCATCAAGAAGGAGTGGAAGGACTAGCCCTTCCCAAGGCCAAACCCCAGAGAGCGTGAATCAGACAGTGGCTACCGTAGAAATCCCCCCCTGTACCAAAGTGCTGACATTGGACCCCTCTTACCTTCCACCCCCGTTATAATTTGACCAGAGAGCTCAGTTTTGTAACATGCCCCCTCCCCAGAGAATCACTGAGTCCATTGACCAAACCGTGCTGTCTGCATCTGGTCCCCAGCTGCCCGTCGCAGGGCCGTGCTGTCCCAGCAGGGAGGTGGGAGCGCTTGCTCCCTCGCCAGCCCCTTGGCTGCTGCTCACCTTCCTGTGTCCCAGTAGGCGCTGAAGGGGAGAGAGTCCTGTGCGGGATCCTGCGCTTGCCTTTCCTGTGCACAGCTCAGGGTAGCTCCTGCCTCCAAGCAGCTGAAGAACTTTGGTGCCAGGCAGCTGTTGAATCCGTTTGTTGGTTAAAATCATGTCCAGCCCACCCCTTCCACCCGGTCAGTGTCCTGGGAACGCTGGCAGCTTCATTTGTGGATGTCCCCTGTAACCATGATGCCTTAATGTGTAACGCGTATCCTCTAGGGAGGGGGCCCTGCCCTCGTTACACTTTTTAAATGCCACCCGCCCTCCCCTTGTTTGTTGGCATGGCACTCCTCTTGGTCACGCCCCTCATGGGTTATTAGGAAAGATTCACAACTTCCCGCTTCGCTGCTGGTCCGTTCTTCACCCGAGATGGGACATCTCCAGCGGGGAGGGCGGTGGGAGATGCTGGGTGACGCCCGGGCACCCCCGCGGCGCAGAGCTGGCCTGGCAGCGCCCGGCCCTGTTGGCGTGGAGCCGCACGCTCTGCAGCCTCAGCAACGCTGGGGGCAGGCGGGGG